AAGCAAAACTGAAGTATAGCAGTGTAGCTCCAAATCTTGAAGCTCAGTGTCTGACTTTTGGGACTCAGAAAAGGCTTGGGGAGTTCTGAATCTCTGTCTGCCATCCTCAGCATGCACAGTTTGTCCAGTAGACGCAAGCTGGCTCCACTTCACTGTGGAGTGTCCTTGATGGGCCTAGGATCTACAGTATTCTGAAATCTCCATGGCAACTGAAGCTGCATCTTCACCAATGGCCTCTCCTATATTTTCTTCAGAAACTTGACCCTGCCATACGGTGTCAGGCCTCAGTGACCTCCTTTGCTTACAAAACCAGTATGCGGGAGGCTCTTCTGCATTACTGAGTTCAAGTGCTAGCTTGAGATACAGCCTTGGCGCACCTGGGCCAGTAATGCGGGGATTTATCAAGGCAACTCCATGTAGTTAAAAAAGGAGGCTTATTTTGGGGTAACTGCCATGCCTACCTATGATGCGCCCCTGGGGTGGGGCCGGCCACCATGTGCTGACTGGGAGGAACTCAAAATTTCACCTCAATAATGCTAGACGTTTATTAATCACAGTTGATTTTTCAGTCCCAGCTAAACCAGCATCCATTATCCCAGTAAAACAAAGGTTTTTACTTCCATAGATTCTTAATTCTAATATCACAGACACATGCATACACACATGTACATGCATGCATCCTTCCTCAGCATCAAGATCATATATCCTTTCCTCAAAATATAAGGCCCTCTCACCTTCCTCTGCCATGTGGGAACCAGGGAGAGCCTGACTTCAAACACATACTATGAATCACTCATCAACCACACGACATGGAATTCCCTCATTCTTCTGAAACCTGTAAGGGACCCCCACTCTCCTTCATGGGCCTGAATTCTCCTCAAAGCCTCCACCATGTTGTCTCCCCATGGTATTTATACTTTAATATATTTCTTACCCAAAAGAACAGTTTGCCTTAATGTTCCTCTTGAACCACACACCTGAGACCTTACACTCAGGAAGTTTTATTTGAAATCAGGATCATAGCAAGTACAATGTTTAGATGAGGTCACATTGAGATAAATTGGCTTTTTCAACCTTGTGACTGGCATAGTGTGTGTGTGTGTGTGTGTGTGTGTGTGTGTGTGTGTGTGTGTGACACGAGCATCATGTCTTAACACAGGTAGATACACAAGTGTTGCTGTGAAAACCAAGGAAGACTAAAGTTTGCTGCAAATACCAGAAGCTAGAAAAAGGCAAGGATTTTCCCTCCCAGTTTCAGAGGGAGCATGGTCCAGACAAAATTTTAATATTGGACTTGCATCCTCCAGAACTGTGAGAAAATAAGTAGCTGATGTTTTAAGTTGCCCAGTTCCTGGATCGTTCTTTCTTTCTCTCCTCCCCCGTCCTTCCTTCCTTCCTTTCTCTTAAATACCAATCCTAGACAATGAAGTCTTTTTAGATGTTTAGATCTTGAACAAGTTTTGCCAGTTTGTATCTAAGACCTTGTCTAGTGTCTTTGCAACACCTACCTTATTAACATAAATTTATACATAGTTTCTTGTAATCTAAATTTCTGTAGAATAAGTCATGAGATACACCCATTTTCATGCCTAATTTGGGGCATTTGTATCTTTTTCCTTTTTGTAAATCAAATAGTCTTTAAAAGAGAGTCAGCTTTTAATTTTTATTGATTTCGTCTCCATTTTTCTGTTCATTAATTCCTTATTTAGCTTGGTGTGTGTGTGTGTGTGTGTGTGTGTGTGTGTGTGTGTGTGTGTGTGTGTGTGTGTGTAATGCTCTTTTTTTTTGTCTTAAAGCCAAAATATTGAGACCCTTTTCCAAGGCAGTGCTTCAAGGCAGTAAGTGCCTTTCAGATCATTGTCTTAGTTGGAACTGGGAAATTTCGATGTTTTCTTTTTGTCCAGTTAAAACTACTTTCTAATTTTCTGTACCATTTTAGCCATTGAGTAATTTAATTTCCCAGTATATTTCTATTGTCTATTGCTAATTTAATTTCACTGTTACCAGAGAGGATACCTTGTATGATCCCATTCATTTTAAATTTATTCACACCTGTTTTATGACCCACCATATGGAGCTATCCAGAAGAGACACTTGAAAAATGAGTATAAATTCTGCTGTTATTAAGTAGAGTGGTCTGCACTTGCCATTTATGTTGAGTGTTTTTTACAGCCTCTATATACTTAATGATTTTTGGTCTAGTTTCCTGCCCATCAGTGAGAGTACTGAAATATCAGGCTTTTGCTGTCTGCCTCTTAATTCTGTTCTTCCCCACCCCCTTTTGGCAGTGCTGATCAGGCACTCTAACATTGGGCTACACCTTAAATTCCCAGTTCTACCAATTATATTGTTGGGTACATGGGCGCTTACAGTTCTTGGATCTTCTTAGTGTGTCGGTTCTTATCACAGCGAAATCTTTTTGACACTACAAAGCTTTACTTTTCCTAAAGTTTATTTTCTATGGCCATTATAAGTCACTTAGGGTTACCCTGTGTGTGTGTGTGTGTGTGTGTGTGTGTGTGTGTGTGTGTGTGTATAGTCTGCTGTTAAGTATTGATGGTCTTATCATAACACATGATCCAAGTTTGCCCTGTCATAATTCATAGTTGAATCATGTCATTTGCAAGCTGTTCCATAAGAAGGATGATATACACTCCTTAATCACCTTTATCCATCTTTTGAAACAGTTTTGGGTGAAATATATTTGATTCATTAGGAGCAGTAAGAAATAAAAACAAACTCCTCCTTTACAAGATTATCCAGCTTTTGGTGTATGGTGATGTTGCCTGGTGTTTTTCCCTTCAGGCTGGATTCTGAAAGGGGCGGGTGGGGGAACCCCCCCCCACCCCCCCACCCCCCCCACCCCCCGCGGTGGTCTATCTGCCCTCCGACTAGTTCCCACTGGACTGTGACATGACTGACACAGGAGGTAAACCAAGCTCCCATTTCAATGTAAGCACCACAGTTTAGGACCACTGGTTTGAGGCAAATGGCTAATCTTAAGAATTGTTGCTTGTCCTTCAAGGCTTAGTTTAGATACAATTCAAACTACATCTTAGACTGTAAATATATGTCATATATTAAATTGAATGTGCACATTGTTATCTGACAATTAAAATACACTTGAGCTCTTAAAATCATTGTTTTACAAGGTAATGTAACAATTGTGTGCTTTTTTTTAATGTTAGAGGACTTATTCTGCCATTGATCTTTTAGTATTTTTAAGTTTGTTTACATGTGAGAATTCTACTGACTGTCCCTCTAATAAAGTTTAGGCTAGGAAATTATTATCCAGGAAATTATTACTATCAAGTTAGAAGGAACTCTGGCATGATATAATAGGCTCATCTTACCTATAACTTTTGAAGTCTATAACTGCTCAACAAAATCATTTCCCACAGGGTGAAAGAGCTTTGTTTTGAGACAGGGTCTCATGTGACTCAGGGTAGACTCAAACTTGCAATGCAATAGGGGGTGTCCTGAACTCCTGATACCCTTGCCTCCACTTTCCAAGTGCTGAGATTACGTGTGCTTGCCACCAGCCCTGGCAAAGTCATTTTCAAGAAATAACAAACAAACAAACAAATTTCTCTGTTCTCTTAAATGCCAATGAAACATTTTACTTATATTTAAAATAGGATAGAAATGTTTTTACTTACTTTTTTTTTTTTTGGAGACAGGGACTCATATAACCTAAGCTGGGCTTGAAGTTAAGTAGCTGAGGGTGGCCTCAACCTCTCAATATTCCTGTCTCTACCTTCAAACTGTTGGGGTTATTGGTGTGTACCATCATACCCTGCTCCGTAAGTACACACTCCTAAGCCCTATCTATGATTGTATTATATTTTTGAGATTACTGATTTGAAACTTGATTTGCAACTATTTTAAAGTCACCTCTGTATGATAATGACAAAAACAATGAAAGTATAGAAAGGTGTAGAGAGTGGCAGAAGATAGAAGATAGGACTACAATAATAGAATGGATACATTATGATTGATCAGAAGGAAAAATAGGAAGTCCCTTCCAGTTGAGAAATAGAGCTTATTTTTCTCCTTCCCCCATTCACTTGGGCTTCCGTTTCCAGGGATGCAGCTTCTCATTGTCAGTATTGGACCAACACACTCTTTACCTTAAAAGGGTTAAATTATAAGATTCAGGAATTCATCCCCGAATTTGCTAATAATTTTGTCATTTGAAAATCTCAAATATATCTCCTATAAATGAGCCAGATTTTCACTTAAATTCCAACTCTGAGATAAACATTTCCAGGGAGAGTTCTTCTATTACACAATAATAGAAGACAAACTTTTGTAACACAGGAAGTTCTAATACACTAACTAAACACGGCTGCTAAAACTTTCGGTAAATAAACAAAGGGCTACCTGCACCTGATTCATGCCCTGAAAAAGTGGAACTTTCCTCCAACTACTAGAAAAATTTATGCCAAAGACCGTTTACTCGTATGAAATTAATGCAGCAATCAATGCCTTTAGCTGAAACTGGTTCCACACTAGAAGCAGAAAGGAAAATTGCATCAAACGACCTAAGACTCAAACACCTTATACCTCAAGCCCTTAAAGCAGTAAACAGGCAAAGCTGTGCAGCCTCGGATCTGCGCTTGGGGACTGAAAATGTACACCGTGGCCTTGTTTCACTGGCCTACTTTCTGATATAAGCAGCTCTCTCGAGGCCCATGTGGAGCAGGCAGTGTCTGTCTCCCCTGTCCACCTCGAAGGCTGTGCTGGGCCAGGAAGGGACTTTCTCCACCTTGAGGGAGCTGGCCATAGGCGGGGCTAATGTGCTCTGCGCGTGGTAAGTGGTCACCAGTTATTTACGGCGGTGAAAGGACACTGATATCGTCGTTTCTGAGGTTTGAGCTCCATGAGCCCTACGTGAAAAGCCCGGGGAACACAAGAAAGGCCATAAGCGGCACTGAGCATGCGCAGCCGGCCGCTCTTCTTTCCCCCAGGCCGCCGGAAGTGGAGCTTCCGGAATTGGTGTCCGTGCGGGAAGTGGAGTCTCGGGAATTCGGGGTCCGGGCGTGATGACGCGGGTACGCGGGAATACGTGAGGACGCAGGCGGGTCTTAGAGAGAGTGAGTTTCCGCGTCTCTTTGGCTAAGTTTGTGGCGTCGCTTCTGTGCGGCGTCTGTCGCCGCTTTCCGGGGCCGCAGATGGAGGGGCCGGGGCTGAGATCTGGGCTGGCGCGGGCCGGGCGGAAGCTCTGCTTTGGGGCTAGGGTCCGCCGGGCGGAAGCGCTGCTTTGAGACCGGGTGGGAGGTCGGAGCTGGCGGGGGGCTGCTCTGGGTCTTCTTAGCCCCTCAGGCTTGGGGGACAGGGGGAGGCGGCACGGACCAATCTCACCCGGATCGCTTGCCCGGGCGCATGGAGGTCCGGGCTTCCCTGATGGGCTTTTGATAGATTCCTCTGCTATCAGGAAGTTTGAGGCGAAATTGCATCAGCCACAGAGCTTGCAGTGGCCGCTGTTTTGTGGCGGGACCACCGCTTCTGTCAGTACGCAGGCCCATGCTAACCCAAGAAAGGCTGTTCCATGTTGTAGGGGACTGAAATACATCTGTCCGAAGGACTCATCTCTTTTCTGCTCACACAAAAAGCTCGTATCGTATGCTTTTCTGTTGTTCCAAGCTAGTCATTAATTATTTTTTTAAAAACTGTTAATATAGAATTATTGCAGTTAAGATTCAGTTGTCAGGGTATTTTAAAGTCCCTTTCAGTGGGTTCGTGGCACCCAGATTTTTGTTTTGTTTTGTTTTGATGTGTGTGGGGTGTCTAGTTATCATCCCTCTACTTTTTACTCCAACGTTCTAGCCTCCTTTACCTTCTTCCTGTTTCTGTTACTGATTCTGCTTCCACTCTTCTAGTGTTCTGACTCATTTCAGGAGAGCAGGTGGTCCTCAGAATAGTCACGCTTTGGTCCCAGAGTTGTCCGGATTATCAGCATCTTCTGGGAAATTGTTGGCAATACAGATTTTGGTGTCATACCTCTTCGAGCAAGCCTTCCGGTCCATTTCAGTGCTTCTGGGTGCTAAATTTCATGAATAACTTAGCTGTAAAAAGTACTCATTGTGGAGTCACAGATGATGTTTGAATAAGGTGAGGTATTACCTAGATATGGAACCTTGAGCAAATCACTTTACTGTGACTCCATAGTGCTAAGCATTCCATGTGAAAACAAGTAGGTAGCACTAAAGCATCAATGTTATGTTACTCAAAAGTCAGGCATTACTAAGTTACTAGACCTGCCTGAAGAAAGCAGATTGTGGAGGAAGGACAAATTGTAGGGTTAGATAGGAGTTTGAGTGCATGGATATTGTGACTGCTGCCTAAAGGAGACTTCTTTTATCCCAGTCACGTTCTGAATAGTGAAAATGTAGACACAGGACAACTTTTTAGCTGGATGTGGTGGCTCACACCTGTAATTCCAGTGCTCTGGAGGCCGAGGCAAGGAGAAATCACAAGTTGGAGGTGAGCCTGGGATACATAATGAGACCCTATGCAATAAGGCAAAACAAACCCAGAAAGATACAGCAGTAGGTACTGATACTCATATTTTATACACTGTAGCATTTTAGAAAATGGAATGATAGTAATTGTGATAAGGTAGTTAAAAGTTCTTTGGCCTTCTTGTTTCTTCAGCTTAGTTATACCAAAGGTTGGCCCAGGATTTGGTAAAGGCCAGAACAGAGTTGAACAGAAGCATAGAGGTAGCACCACAAAGCCAAAGCTGATGATGTTTCTATCCTTATCTTTTGTCCTCAGATGTCATACAGCTCCATCACAGCAAAGAAGGCCTCATATCCATTTATTTGAAGGCTCACAGTTAAGTTAGACATGGTCCCAACCTGCTGATTTTCTTCAAATAGCTACATGTAGCGTTTTCTAAAAACTCGTCATTTCTCCAAGGATCCACCTAGGGGAACAAAGAATCATTCAGGATTTGAAGCTGCTGCCCTCGAGCCTAGGCTTGTTACAGTATTGAAAAGGGCCAGTGACTAACTGTGGCCTGTGTGACACATGGCTTTGACTGGAGAACACTGGTACTATCGCCATGCTGAGACCCCGGGTTACCACGGGGAGTGAATTTTCATGTAAATATGCCCCTTATGATATCAATTTCTATCAGTAATTGTTAACCTTACCACCAAAGTGATACTGTCCCATCATGAAACAATTGTTTTTCAAAAGGCTCCAACATATTTTCTTATTCTGTATGAGAAAGATGTGTAGCTATGGTTCTGGGTCAGACCAACCTACTTGAATTCTGCCTTCCTTTGTGCATTGATTATGTCCTATAGACAAAGTAGCATCTTTCCCCATTTTAATTTTTCACCCTGTAAAGTGGAAATCATAGCAGCATCTGATACTACTAAGTTAAAGGAGATAATGCGTTGACTGTTATCTGTTACGACATATATGTTAGGCTGTGTCTCTTGTTGAAAGGGGAAGAAATGATTATCAGTTTAATTCTGACTGCCCTGTTTATTTCCTAATCATCTTTTTTTTTTTTTTTTTTTTTTTTTTTTTTGGTTTTTTCGAGACAGGGTTTCTCTGTGTAGCTTTGCGCCTTTCCTGGAACTCAGTTGGTAGCCCAGGCTGGCCTCGAACTCACAGAGATCCGCCTGGCTCTGCCTCCCGAGTGCTGGGATTAAAGGCGTGCGCCACCACCGCCCGGCTTATTTCCTAATCATCTTTTATACATGAGTTCATTTTATCACCTGGTCACTGCTCTTTTTAAGTGATAACGATGCTGAAGTGAGAGTCAAGATTTCATAATATTGTGAGAGAAAGCAAACACTTGGAGAAAGTTACAGCTCAGCTTGGTAGAAAAACATTAGTTATTTCATAATCAGTGATGTCTAGACATTGTTTTCATAATTTCCAGAAGATTAAAGATAATTAACATCAAAATATCTTGGATTATCCTATCACTGACTTCTTTGAGTACAGATAGCTCCGTCATATGAGTCATATAATGCTGTTTATGTCATAGAAGATGGTATCTCTGCAAATAAATGCATAAAAATGTTATTAGCCCTGAAATAATTGATATTTTTTCAATATATGTGCTTTACCTAGAACACTGGTGTGTTCTATCTTTTTTTTTAAGTACGAAGTCCGTATATTTTCTTCATGTTTTTACATAGCTATGAATGTATGAACATGGAATATACTTAGAGGCATTCATAGTAGGCCATACTTTTGTTAACTTTGTAGTGTATTATATGAGGGTAAGGACTAAATAGAAAAGTAAATAATCTGTACACTTATATGTGTACATATATTAAAATTATTGTAAAAAGCCATTAAAACTTTGAAACTGTTCTTTAAAAGATGTCCTTTAATGGAGCCATCATTCCCATCATTCCACCTAAGCAGCGATTCTCTGTTTGTTTAAATTTGAGCCTCTTCAGCAGAAATTTACACAGAAAGTTCAAGAGTGGAAAGGCTGTAAGATCTGTGAGGTTGGAGGACGCGGGCTCCTGATCCAGAATGTGTCTAGAGGGAACTGAGATTCTGGGGATCTGTGCATGAATCCCTGTCAGCAGCATAGCTCTGAGGGGGAGCGGTACCTGAAACCATGATGATGCTAAGAACCCCAAGTGCTTGGAATCCTTAGACGTGTCCTGCAGAATTCTAGGTTTGTCTCGGTGTATGTCTGGGTTCTCATATGGAGGCATGGGTGATTATTTAAAAAACAAAACAACCAACCAACCCCAAACAAATACAGTCTTCAGTCTGACCCATATTTTACAGACATAGGATTCCGTGCAGAAAAACGAACAACAACAAACCCCACAGCTTTTTAAAAATCCCTCTTACGCTGTGACAGCTGTATCAGTATCCAAAGCTACTTAGTATTTTAACTGTTGTTTTGTATCATAAGTGACAGGGGATGGGAAACAACCAGTCAAAAGAGGTATACAGTATTACTTGTGTATACAAGATACAATGTTTTTGTTGTATGCCAGTGTCTGATGTTCATTCATATGGTAAAGTAGTTTTTGTTTTACTGAATTTTTACTTAATAATGACTCCTCATAAAAAATGATTTCAGATCTAACCATTTGTTAGCTTGTTATTGGTAGTGGTAGTAGTAATACTGTCATTTTCACACATTGAGAGGGGTTTCCTGGTGACAGCTGGAGAGTGGGGGAGGGGGAGTCACTTTCAATCAACCAGCTGCTCCTTGCAGCATCATGGTGGTGATATTTCAAAGCTGGTGGATAATTCTGGCTGTATTCGGAAAAGAAAATGTGTCATATTTCTGAGATGCAATAGATAGTGTGCAAGAGCCCTTTGGGATCTAGATGATAGCCAGCTGACAGCGTGTGCATTCAGGCTTGCATGTCGGTGTTATTTACCATCTAGTTTCTTGGACATTGTTACATGCACATCATAATTACAAAGCAATAAAGTCCAGTTCCATGGGGAGAAAGTCTCATTACTTTATGGACAGGAAGGGAAAATGAAAACCGAACTGGAGTGGTGTACTACATGCTTTTATGTGGTCTGCTATTTCATCTGTCTTCACCATGGCTTTAGGAAGCAAGCGGGATTTTCTTTATCCTGTGGATAAAGAACCAGGAAGTTCAGCAAGACCGAGGACATGGTGTGTCCAAGGTTACACAACCATATTTGATCTCCTCTCACTTTAACTTCAGGGATGTTACACCATCAGCTGTTTGCCCAGGGTACTAAATGACATTTATTTTTAATCCAGAGTCACAGGAAAGCAATGATTGAAATTTATATATGTATTACAGTGACTTCAGATTTATAAGTAACATGTAATGTGCGTGTGTGTTGCAGCTATGCATAACTCTGGATTTTTTTTCCCTTAGACGAGGTATTTTGGGCAACACTGAAATTTTGACACCTTTCTTTCCGCAACATTATAATTTTGTGTGTTGTAATGAATGAATTGTGTTTCAAAATTTGAGCCATTATAGAAAGATGACATGCTGGCACATAGTTTCTTGCCACTTAACCAGTATTCTTTTCTTCCTGTCAAGGCATGCTAATTTTGTATTAATAAGGGGCCTGTTGATCTTCTAAATTTCCATCCTTAGAAGTC